GCACAGATGGTCTACGAATGACGTGGCCTGCCTATGTAGCACGTGAGGAGAGTACGTGCTCGGGTGAACAGCGGAGGCAGTCTTCGCGGGGTGAGTCTCGCGTGGGGTCCATGTTTGAGGGGGGCAGGCGCGGGTGGATGGATGATGGTTCCTCGGGGGAGCACGGGGTTTGGGAGCTTGAGTATGTTGGCGGAGGGAATCGAGCGCTGCGGGCGGTGGCGGTGGCGGTGGCGGTGGCGGTGGCGGTGGAGGGGGGCGGGTGGGGTTGCTGAGTGGGACTCTGGAACCTTGTGGCCCAGCCTGTCTGAAGGGTTCCTTTCTCCCTGGTGCCAACACTTCTACCCCTGGCTCCCCCTGAGCTCCCCCCAGTCCCCACCCCCACCCCCTTCATCCTCCTCAGGCACCAAAAGCCCCACCGGTCAGGATGGAGGACACTCTTTCCTCCCCTAGCACTGCTCCCTGCACAGGAAGCCCCATCCGGAGGCTGTTTCTTGTAGGAAAGGACCCCCCCCTGGTTCCCTTGCAGCCTGTGCCCTGCCTGGAGGACCCCAGGCCCCTCCCTGGTCTGGCCTCCTCCCCTCTCCACTTGGCTACAGATCCTGGGCTGCAAACCTGCAGGGACAGATGGTTGCAGGTTGGAGGGGCAGGCTGCACCCCAGGGAGGTCATTCTGACGGAAGGCAGCCCTGGGCTTGTTCCTGGTGTGGGGGGCCTCTCAGGTGGACCGAGAATTGACCCCAGTAGGAAGATGCGGTCTGGGAAGTTGGAAGAGGTGCGGTCTTTTTCACAGGTCTGTCCCTGCCTGTCTGTCCAGCTCACCAGTGCCCATTCATCCCTTAAGCAGGGCTCTGATTTACTGCGGAATTGGAATCAGAGCTGCAGGGCTGACAGGTGCCCTGCCTCTCTTGTCTTGGATGCCTCCAGTGACAGAGCACTTACTACCTTATGCTGTGGGAAAGCTTCTTTATGTTGAGTGGAGGTCTTTTTCCTTGGAGCTTTGTTCACTTACCTTGTCATTACCTTTGCTTTTGCCTCTCTGTCTGGTGAGGGGAAACTGCAGTGATTTAAACATGGCTCGCCTGTCACCAGCGTATACTGAGCACCCTCTCTGTGTCAGGTGCTGCCTCAGCCACTTAGGGGACAATGGCATTCTTGATGAGAGAAGAGCTTGAGCCAAGGCCCATAGTTGGGATTACAGCCTGTGTTCAGAAAGACAGAGCAAAACCATATGGCTAGGAGAGGAGGGAGTGTCGTGGGTTCCCTCAACTCAGCAAACATTATTTGGGAAGGGAGGTGGGGGCAACTGCAGCCACCCTCTAGCACATCTAGCCTTACCATGGAATCCAGCAATCAGATCCTCAGGGTAGTACAAGACGGGGTTTAAGCATGGGCATATATGGCAATCTGTAGGGACTTTTGGCTGGAAAGAGAATCTTGGGAATCTCAGATCTGGGGAACAAAAGGACAGCCCCTCACACACACACAGTTTACAAGTAAGGGGATGGAGTAGGAACTTGCCCAGTCTTACCTTGCATTTGTGACATTAGTGTCAGTCAAGACGAGCTTCTAGATCTCCTGACCTTTTTGTAACCTAGACACATTTTAGAGGCAGACTCAAGGATGGTCATAGCTTGTATCTGAAAGGTGAACGAACTGAGAGGACTCCCAGGGTTGGGGTGGTTAGATGGATGATGGTGCCTTTTTTTTTTTTTGAGATGAGAAACACAGCAGGAAGAGTAGATTAGGGGAAAATGAATTCAGTTTTAGGTTAGTCTCCAATCATCTCCCATGTAGATGTGTCCAAGATACAGTTGGGTATACAGGGCTGGGGCTCAAAAAAGTTTTCTGCACCGGAGATAAGGATCTGGGACTTGTTAGTAAGTGGTTAGTAACTAAACCCTGGCAGATGATGAGATTTCCCTGGCAGAATGTGAGTGTGAGAGAAGGGCCCTAGAACAAAGCCCTGGGAACTAGACATTTAAGGAATGGGCAGTGACTGAGCAACCAAGGAGCAAGTGGAGAACTCAAATTGAATGGTCATGAAAGCATTGGGTATAGCTTCTACCCTTTTGAGTCTTGTTCTTTGGCCCATCTGGTCCATGTTTCTTAATTTTTCATGCTTCTGTTCCTTTGCTCAGCTTTCCCAATGTGTCTATCATACTCCTATTGGTCCCACAAGAACCAGCTCAGATGCCCCTTCCTCTTGAGGCCTGTTCATTCTCCTCCACCACCTTCTGACTCAGAGACTTCCTTCTCTTTGCTGCCACAGCAGTTCGAATATATCAATACCAGGACACTTATCACATTGTAGTTATGTATTTCCAAGTCTATTTCTACACTTGTCTGAGAGCTTGGAAGGACAGGTAATATATCTCTTTAAGAAGCTTTGCATCTCCATTTGCAAGTTGAAGGGCCTGGTCCAGAGTATGCCCGGAGAAGTTTGATTGGTAGGTTGATCAGCTGATCGAATAGTTCATTCACCTACTCAGTCTGGCAATGGTGGGGGAGATGGTACTGTGAATTTCATCACTTTCCTTCCTTGCCAACCTTACTGAGAAGGATACTTTGAGGACTTGTCCTCCTCCTTTGCTTCATCTGTTCCAGGAGAACCTCAAAGACTATAATGTGCAGTCATTTGACATTTTGCTGAGGCCTCAAATAATCAAATACGCCTGGAGGCTAGTGAACAGGAATGTCATTTTAGGAAGCAAGTGAGCCTAGATGACCTCTTGCATCCACTTTTTAACAATGCCTTGGTTACCTATCTCCACTCACAGCTGTGGAAATCTGGGACTCTCCTGGGGTTGTAGGAGGAAGTCATGGGGGAAATTAGATGCTGTTTGAGAATTTGGAGAAACTGAAAAGCCTTGAAACACATCCTTTGCAGATGTCAAGGATCTAGTGGAGTCAGCAGCACTGGCTGTCTTCATTTGCTCACAGTCAACTTCCTCCTCAGCCCCTTGGATCTGGCTTCCTCTACTCCGGCCCTTGGAAACCACACTCTCTGAAGTTAATCACAGCTTCTCCTGGACTTTAAATCATGGGACCTTTCTCCAGCATTTCACAATGAGATCGTTTCCTTGTCCATGAAGCTTTATTCTCCCTGGGTCTTCACAGGCTCCCTCTTTTTTTTTTTTTTTTTGCTTCTCCTGCCTCTCCTGCCTCTCTGGCCACATCTTTTCCATTTCTTGCAGACTTTGCTTCCTGGGCCTATCCCTTAAATGTTGAGGTTCCTTGGGACACAGTCACAGGCTCTCCTTTCTCATCTCTGGGTGATGTCATCCATTTCCATGGCTCCAGGCACCATCCCAAATCTTTATCTCCAGGCCAGACATCTTTCCTAGGCTCCAGCCTATCTTTCCAGCTGCCAGCTGGACCTCTCCCATAGGCACCTCAGAGTCATTTTATTAAACACTGAACTTGCCACCCTCTCATTCAAACTGCTCTTCTTCTAGAGTTTCCAAGCAAGAAAACTAGGAATCATCTCTAATTCTTTCTTCTCCCTCTACTCTTCACATCAAATCATCTAGCCATCAAGTTCTATTGATTCCTCCCTATGAAATCCCCTTCTCTCAACCTTCTCTCTGCTACTCCGCTAGTCAATACCACCATCATCTCTCCTCTGGAATATCAGCAGTCTCTTAACTTTCCACTTGTGTCCCCTCTAAACTATTTTCCACACAGCAGTCAAAAATTTACCACTGTGGCTCTATCACTCTATACTTGAATCCCCTACCTCCCAAGAAATGTTTCCTTTGCTCTTTGGATAAAGCCTTAATCCCCAAGAAGGGAAGGGTAAAGTCTACACTCCTTAATAAGGCCAGCAATGCATTGTGTGATCTAGTTCCTGCCCACCTACCCAAATTGTTTCTTAACTGTCCTCCCTGTCCGGTGTATGATTCAGTTTCCTGATGCAGAGGCACCATGCTCTCTGTAACTCTCACTCATCCTGGAAATCTCAGCTTGAATGACACTTCCTTCAGGAGAATTCCCTTGTCCTCCAACTTCCAGTATCCCTGCCCC